TATATATATATATATATGTATATATATATGTATATATATGTGTATATATATATATGTATATATATATGTATATATGTATATATATGTATATATGTATATATCTGTACAATGCTAGAAAGATAAATTTGAAATTTTAAGAACTCAGTATCAAACTTCAGTGTTTTTACATAGTTTCAAGGATGGGTTATAGTTCTTAAAAAGGTGGGGGAAGCATGTAAGGTATGCAGAAAATCAGCTTGTGGTCTTACACACATTAGAGTTGTGATATTGTAAAAATGTGTTTATTTTTGGTGTGTGTGTTCAGTGCTGAAATTACCTTCAGTTTTAGCATTCCCGAACAGACCCATTGAAGTAAAAGTAATTTTTATAGTCACTTTTCATAGTAGAACCATGCTGAAAAAAAAATAAATTAGAGGAATTCCTTTTAAAGGTCCACTATCGTGGTCAATAGGCTTGAAGTTCCTTACTTTTAAAACAAATGCTATTTTCTTTTTGTAAACAGAATGGCGGAACAAAACAATGCCAGCAGTGAGTCACTTATGAGCAATCCTACAATAAAGAGTGTGTGAGTGCTTAGTGTTTGGGGACAGAGTGGGGAGGAGGGAGGTATGTGAAGTACTTTGGCTTCAAGTTAGCTGTAAATAGCTGGGGAGGGAAAGGACTTGGAAATACAAAGTGAATATATTTATTGAACTTATGTTTGAATGTTGCATGTGTAGTGTGTTGGAAAACTCCTTCAGTCTGAATACAGCAGGTACCATTTTTCACAGTAACCAAACCTCAATGCCATCTGTAGAAAGAATCTTTGTAATTTGAAGGCTGTTTCTTATAGTGTACTTTGTAAAAAGCAAAAAACTATCAATCTGTCTGTTAGTACAATCTTAAAATGAGGAATGTGATTTTTAGAAGTGGAAGCTCAGCTTTTACCTATAAAGAAATGTACTGCTGGAAAAATTTTGCAAGAGAACAGAATAGATAGAATTTTTAAAGATATTATTCATTAGGAATGAGATCAAACTGTATGAAGGTAGTTAACAGCTTTGGGTGATGCTGTACTCTAAATTTGTTCTTCCACCTAGAAAAGGTTCTGTGTATCAAAAGACCATGATGGCCCTTAACTGGAATTAAAATAATTGGTCTTCTAGATTAACTACTTTTATTTTTTGGTGCCAGCTTCTGAAAAGCCAGATAAACACTACGAGCTTTGCACAGATTTAATGAGGAGAAAAGCATCTCCTTTATTGGTTTTAGCAATACTGTATTTATTACATTGTTCGTGAATGCTTAGTTTGCACATTTACTAGGCACTCTGTGTGTGTGTGTGTGTGTGTGTGTGTGTGTGTGTGCGCGCGCGCGCGCTACAGACTATCAGTAGCTACCAGGACTCCTGTCCAATGCAGTTAGAATGATTATGGCTTGTCCCAGTTGTTTTAGTTTAGATTTGTTCTCTACATTAAATTCATGTTAAGTTTTCAGAATTGAAAGAAAAATCACAGTTGTGCTGCATACTGCTTTTAAAAAGAATCAGGCTCATGTCCTTAAATTTTGAGACTGGAATAACATGTTGAGTGCTAACTTCACATAATGGAGTTTCACTCATCTCATTCGAATTCGTTCATGTTGTGGCTGTGAGAACTCTTGCCTCTTACTGTTTTGTAAATGTCTGTTTTCCAGTCACTCAGGATATGAAAATTTGCAAGTGTTACTTTACATAACTTATAATTATCAGTGTCATCTACTCCTTGAAGGCTGTAACTCAGCTTCATGTTGCTTTTAATTACAATTTGGACATCAGTGTAGTCAAAATATGCTTGATGCTTGGTACTGCTTATTTATAGACCTTGTGTTCTGATGCTCTTGAAGTTTGGGATTGTTTTTTTCCAACATGACCTGGGAGTTACAAAAAATACCTGGTGTTTTAAGAGTATTCAAATACTTGCTTTTTAATAAGACCAAGTATCAGTATTATTTTGTCCGTATCTGTGTTCTTTATGAATGTATTAAAATCACCTGCCAGGGAGTTAAGTTTGTAGGTAGATGGCTGGTTTTGTTCTGTTTGTTCCCTCTGCCTACCCAATGTTTTCTATGATCTTTGGTAGGAGTCTGTGGGTGCTCAGTGCTTCTGAAGACTGAGGTATGTTTAAGGCTTATGGTTTTGATCTAAAAACCTGTTTTGTTTTGCAAGGCTATATTGGGTATTTATAGCTAAAATTATTCTTTGGGTATAATACCCATTTGTGAATTTTCAAGTGTGTTTATAGCATAGATCATTGTCTTTACTGAAGCTGTCTTCTAGGTCCTCAGTGGCTCACCTGATGAGCAAGATGGGACAAAACTCAGGAAACATCATTCTGCTGTGATAACTACAGCTAGGACTTGCACATTGAAAGTGCTTACCTTATTAAACCATTAAAAGTAAAGAGCAGCTAGAAAGAGAGAGGTCATCACCCTCCTACCTTTCAGTTCCCCAAGAAGATCTAGCAGATGCTCTATTGACTACTACTTGATCTATTTTAAAAATTTATTTCTGGTTCATGGAACATGACATGTACTCCACTTTGTATCTTTATGTGTTTTTTGTAGATCACATTCCATATTGTCTACACTAGGAGACCCCTGAAAGAAAAGAATGTATTTCAACTTGAAATACTTAATACTCTTGATGTCTCTGTTTCTGGTGGTTAACAGTAGCTTCTCCAGAGAGATGGTAGAGATTAGTTTTAAGTAATTTCTCATTTTAATATAATACAGATGTTCTTAGACTACTGTCTGTAGTTGTTCTGCCTGCTCCCAGTGATATCCCAGTGATATTACTAGAAACCTCATAGCAAACTAGCTTTTTAACTAGTAATGTAAGCTGTATCTTTTAGAAGTGGCTTTCCCTATGAACTGCAGTAAATCTTAAAATGAACTTCTAATACTATGGTTATTTAATTAATGCAAAGTTTCTTCTGAAACAAGGTAGGTGGGACATGTATGCATTATGTATTTATGAAGTGGCAAACAAAGTTTTTGCTTGCTTTCAGTTTCACAGAAAGAACTGTGCATCTTTATTTTGAGCCTTCATGCGAAAATTAAAGTTGAGTTCCACAGTAGCATGAGTCTGAAAGATTAGTAACAACAGTTTTTCACTTTGAACTTTTGTCTTACGGATGTGAATTTGCGAAATCTTCATCTGCTACAGATTGGATATGCCATTGTTGCTGACTTGTGGAGCCTTGCACTGTGTTACTTGTGCAGTGACTGAAGGTTTATCACATCACTTGTTCACATGCAGTTCTCCACAGGAGAGTGTCTAGTAACAGCCTCACCCATATCTTGTTAGATTCAATTTTGTATGTAATATTATATATATCTGAACGTAAGTTTTCAATATTAGCTGTACTTAATAATCCATAATAGCACATAGATCTGTTCAGAATGAAACTTGCACATAAAAAATGTTAAGTATTCCTTATGCTAATATTTTGCAAGCAGACTTTTACCTGCTGTGTTTGTATTTCATGTGAGGGAGGAAGAAAAAATCCTCTAAACAGAAGCAAATTAAATGATTGGTGGGGGAGGGGGGAGAATCTGGAGATCAGTTGTGTAGCAGAATATTAATCAGGGTTGGGCTGTGCATTTTAACTGGCATGTAACTTACAGGTGTTTCTTTTAATTTAAAAGTAGTACTAAAGAACCAGTGGGGGGTGCAAGCATATGACCCTGCCAGTCAAACAGTGGCAGAAGTTAATCTGTGACAATATTATAAGATCTTGGCTGCAACTGCTGTAAAATTTCTTGTCCCTTCAGAGTTCTAGAGAACCTCAATTTTCCATTGCCACAAGATTTTCCTGGAAGGAGCTTGCCACTTTGCAGGCCGTTTTCATGTTGGTTTATTAGAGCCTAAAAGGTTGAACCTCATAATCTTGGTAAGCAGTCCTCAGTTTCGGTGAAAGTAAGGGTAAACTCAACCTTGGAGGATTGTGACTAAGCAATTTTGTGCTGTGGGATTGTTGTTCTTAGACGAGAAGATTTATCCACCTGGGAAAATATTAATGTATTAGTATTTCAAATATGGTAAAGATGAACTTCTCAGTAAGGAACGCTTCTAACAACAAAGTTGTTCTGTGATAACTTGGTCAGGACATTTATGTGGCAAAACTGTTGTATTTGTGTGTGATATCCATAAAGCTTAAGGAGGCAGTACATTAGACACTTAAAATCCTTAGTCTAGAAAATACATGACATACTTTAATGTTATTCTTAAATTATTTTTTTACTTGGAGTTCTGATAATTAGCATTGGTGTCTGTAAGATGTTTTGCATTGTAATAGAAGGAATATCTTTTTATTCAGTAAATATGCAGGTAATCATCAAAAGAATGGTATAGAAAAGACTACAACTGAAAATTATCCATTTCAGCATAGCAGTGACAATACAAGATTCTGTATTTTAATATTCTAGTGTAAACAGCTCTTAAGTTAACCTGTTGCTCCCTTTCTGATGTTTTTAGTAATTTTACTGGCTAATTTCCCTTAAAATATAAAAGCTCTAGTTTGTCTTGTAATGTGTTGACTGTTTGTGGTATAGACATTCTTGAGCAGCTTCAGTGCTGCATTACCTTGAGTGAAGCATTTTCCCCAGCTTCACTATAGGTAAATGTGATTTGGAAACATTTGGGGCTGTGGTTGCTGCTTTCAGTGTTTGTTTACATAGAGCTACACAGTTTTGTAATTTTGAGGATTTAAGGATTGTCTGATGGTTTCTTGAGACTAGTTTAAGCCAGCTGAAAAAAGCAACAATTAAGAATAATCTTGGTTTGTAAAGTGCGGTTGGGGGAAGCAGGAAGCATCAACTTGTTAAAGGAAATGTCAGGACGTTGCAACATGTTAGCCCACTGTGGTTTCACACTGACTGTTCTTTAAGTCAGGGAAAAATTGATCTGCTATTTCTACATAAAATTTAAATAAAGGATCATCTACTGTATTTGAAGGTAAGGGATGCCCTCATGTGGTAGAAGTTAAAATTGAAATTCTGCTATTCACAATTTAAAAATAGAGACTTGTAAGCTCTAAGTAATTATTTAAGAGCATTTTTGAATGAATATTTAAGGGAATCTCATATTATAAAAATCACAGCCTTACCCTGGAATATCTGAGTGCACACAACTGGGCACAAGTAAGACGGGTTTGTGGTTTTGTTTTTTCCCCTAAACTTCCAAGAACACCAAAGGATTAGGGCTGTGACTTCTTTTGATACTGACTCTAATGTTGCTGCTGTTGTGTCTCACATAGGTGATGTGCAGTTCATAGACTATGAGTACTCTGGATACAACTACCTGGCTTATGACATTGGAAATCACTTCAATGAGTTTGCAGGTAAAAAATGGTTTTGAGGTAAAGGGAAACTGGTTTTACAAAAACTCATTCTTTTTTCTTTGTTTATCTACATACATGTGTATAACTGTTCACCTGATGGTATCAAAATGTGTGGATGTCTCATCTTGCAGGCCAGTTATGTTCTTCCTTCCTTTTGCAGCTTGACTAACCCAGAAATGGGAACATCATGTCCTAAGTCTTGGTAGAGTTAGATACCAAACTTAAAGCTTTCACAGTATCCTTCTGTGAAATGACACGGCAGAGACACCCCACTGTAATACTGCATGAATGAATCTTTTACAGCATAAGTATATATTGAGAATATGCTTTGTGGTTCCACAGTTCCAAATGTCAGGCTTATGTCATTTTTGGTGGCTTTGAATGTGTGTGCTAAGTACTTGCCCTTGACTCATATCCTAAAGTGAGAAGTAAAGGCTGTGTGGTAGGAAAAAGGTGGATTTTGGGAATAAGGTGTTGGTAGATTCATTCATTAACTAGTTAGATTTTTTTTTTTTTTTTCCCCCAGTGAATGCCCATTCCATTTACTACATAAGAGAAATACCTTTAGTGTATGCAGTGTTATTTCAGAAGATGGGGCAACAATAAAAACCTACATACTGATTAGTACAGATGGAAAAGCACAGTAGGTGGAATTAGGAGCCTTTTATCTACTAGTCATTGGCTCATAAACTGAACGTTAACTCTAGGTAACGTAAAAAAATTTAAATTGTATACTTGGTAATTTAAATATTTGGAAAGCAAGTTAAATTCTTTACAAAATATTTCAGAGCTTTTGATTTTTCATCTGAGACTTGTCAGAGTCTGATTACATCTTTAAGGAGCTAAGAACAGTAAGAAGACTAAACACACTTTTTTGCTTGTGAAGAACAGCTGTGTTTCACCTCTGCTATTTTCTATCCATCCAGTAACAATATGGTTATTTTTTTTAAAAGCTAAATTTGAGTGATCTGACACAGGGAAGAGTTTAGGTGCTGGGGGATTGCACTGATCATAAAATAAGACTTAAGGAGTACTTCCAGATTGTCTGGGAATTATAGCTAGTGGGTGCGAACTGTAATTTGGGTTTAGGACTCTTGGCAGACTCCATATGGCCTGTGACTAAGCATCTCCGGTATTGGTTATGGAGATAATATTTCCAAGTCTGCTGATACTCTGTGGAGGAGAGGGGTAGACCTCTAATAAATCTTTCTCAAATATATGATCAGTTGGTGACAATATATATGCATCAGGATTCAGCTTTGGGTATAGTTTCAGATAAGTCCCCTTTCCTGTGATGTGTAGTATTTGGTATGTTTGGGAGGGCTTTTGTTTCATAATGCAAGTGCTTAAGGCTTTTCTCGAAGCCCAACTTGTTGAATCTCAGAATAAGAGTAGAATATTTATGTGGCTGAAAACACAGACAGCATAAATCTTTTTGTGATGTTGAACATTCTGATTCATGTGTGAGAAGTTATTGCCAACATGTGACTGAAAGTCAGATCAAAGTAAAAACACTGATGTTTGTCCACATCAGTTTGTGTATGTGTTGGGGTCGGGAGGGGGGAATTAGTCCAGTAATGTGATTTTAATGGTTGTCTTGGACACTGTAAGTTTCTAATAGATGGTTGGTTTGTGTTTTTTTTTTTTTTTCCTAGGAGTAAATGAGGTAGACTACAGCCTTTATCCTAACAGAAAATTGCAGGAACAATGGCTGAAATCTTACCTTGAGGCCTACAAAGAATATAAAGGATTTGGCAGAGAAGTCAGTGAAAAAGAAGTTGAAGTTCTATATGTCCAAGTCAATCAGTTTGCACTGGTAAATAACAAACACTTGATTAGAATATATTAAGTGCCATAGAGCTATGGACAAATGTAACTGCCAGTTTCTTTGAGTACTGTGGCATGGAAAGAAAAACTTCCTTAGCTTGTTCTATGGAAACTTTATGTTTTGTTGTGTGTTAAATTCTCTATAGAATATTCCTAGTGAAAAGAGGCAGTGAACATTCACAAAATGAGGGGATGAGCTTTTAGGGAGTACTTCTACTGGCTATTTATTGGTCTGGCAAGTTCCTGAGTTGGCTGGAGCTATGGTGGGTCTGTGTTGAACTTCTTGTAAGAAGACAAAGCACTACCTTGCTTTATACAGACCTATAAATGTTCTGATTTTAGAAGCCCTTTTAAAATGAGATGATAAAATGTTGTTAGAATAAATGTAAGTTACTTTGATTATTTTTAACTCACCCCTTTCCTTACTCTATAGAGTCTTTAAGTACTACCATAACTCTTTCTTTGCCTGCAGTGTCTCGACAAGCAGGGAGTTGCTTTTATGTTTGGTTTTTGGTCACCTTTAGTCATTGAAGTTGTAGCGAAGTGCAGACGTAGTCTTGTGTTGTTCCCCAGAATTTTTGCCTTGTTCTAGATTGTGAGGGCTGGCTGTGAGTCTGTTCATTGCTCTTCCTGTACCTTGTGCATTATAAGCTGTCTCCTGTCTGTCAATTTGTCTTTCACAGAGTTTGAATGTAAAAGCTTCACTCCCTTGTTCTTATCCTTTGAAAGGATGGAGCATGTTCAGTTTTGATCTGGCTTTGGTGCCTTGTCCTTCAGGATCAAATGTAATTCCTGGAGGTAGAATAAGTAGTTAAATAGGTGTGGCATTGAGTCTTTGAATGTCCTATTTATGTGTACTGTTAGAAACAGTTTGAAGATGTCTTTTTTCCCAAGCTTTATCTCTTAATTTCTGGAGATACTTTACAGGTTCACATTATTCTTGTTACATTTTCTGACTAGCCCTGGTCTTGTTTTGCCTGGAGGATGTGAGGGGAAATGTTACTGCAAAAGTGACTTTGACTTTTACCCAATAGCTAGATAACTTTATTTTGCTTTCTCCTGAAAAACAAAATGCCAAGCTATTCATAGGAGGACTAAGGCTAAGAGACAAGTTTGTACTTTCACATGTACATACAGTAGCTGCCATCTTAAGGTGTTTTCAGGCATGTGTCGGCTACACTTCTGGTAAAGTGTAACATGCAAACTTCAGGAAGCAATTTCGGTAATTACTATAAGATGTTATTTACTGGACAGAAGTCTGAAGTATATTGCTTATAACCTGGGTGGTCCAGAAATGTCTTTCACAAGGAGACTATCAAGCTCATGGCCATTACATGTATTTTGTTCATTTGAAGTATAATAACAAACATCATCAATGTAATCAATAGTTTCAGTCTGAAACTGAACATAGCCTCCAGACTGATAATGTGGACTTGTAATGGAAGTAGGTTTGGAACAGATGAGAAATTTGTGTAAATGATGATGAGTTAGAGGTTCTCTTCATAGCTAGAGATTGTAATTCTTTGTCCAAGTCAGTAGTGAAAGTGAGTTGTAGTTATAATGGCCTAAGGGTTATAATCAAAGAATCAAAAGGAATTTTATATTTGCACTACAGTTGAATAATCTATGTAGAACAATACATATATATTTAGCAGCAGTAGAATGAGATAGTTATACTTCTGTGCATTTTTTAACATGATGTTGTATAGGGTTGTACAACAGACTACTTAATAGATGACCTGTTTTATAAATGCAACATTATTTTTCTTGAAAACAAGACATGGAGAATCAGAAGGCCAATGGATTTATTCCTCCAATAGCCAGTAATTATTTCTATACTTGTTTACCAATCTCTTTACTAAAGAGATATCAAACAACTTTACAAAAAGATTGTGTTTTGAGACTTCTCTTGTATATAATTCTGTCTCAATGCAAGAATATGTTTACATGATGGATTTTATATAATGTTAATCTTTCACTAAACATTTTTTTCTTTCAGGCTTCACACTTCTTTTGGGGATTGTGGGCTCTAATTCAAGCCAAATATTCCACCATTGACTTTGATTTTCTAGGGTAAGTGTACTTGCTGCACATGATTACAAAATACTTGAGGCTGGAAAGGGACCTGTGGGGCCATCTAGTCCAGCACCCTGGCTATCAGAAACTGATGTCTGAGCAAACAGACCTGATTGATATGAGCATACTATAATATACTCTTAATTTTCAAGAGAAAACAAGACAGTAAAAGTTGTCTATACTTTTTCTTGCTATAAGTTCTCTAAACTAGTATGTGCCCCTGGCTAAAACACATGGTATAACAAGGCAAGGAAGATAACTAGAGGAGTAAATGCTTTTGGGCATTGAGTTGTTTTGTTGGAGAGACAAGGGCATAAAAGTCAAGTTGGTCTGTGTGGTGTACCATCTGTAAGATGACTTACATTTCCAAACTGCAAGAGTCAAGAAATGGGACTCTTGAACAAAAAAGCTTGTTTACTTCTTATTGAATGGAGTGTTGATCTTGAGAATTCCTAATCTTTTTTATTTTTAAGAGTTCTTGTAATGCCAGTGAATGTTAAGTTCTGTTGCCTGAGACACTGGCCAGTCATGTTCTGTTTTGGGTAGATATGATGTGTGTCTTGTGACATTTTTTCAAATGGTCTTTCATGGCAACAAGCAGAGGAATTCATCTTTCCATAGGGGACTGGGCAAGGTGATAAATTAATAATTTAGCTTGGTAAAAGGTTCCACTTTAGAATCTTTCTCAGTGACTAAGTCAGTTTACTAGGCTTTGTTGTGTCATTTTGTAAATGAGACAAGTGTGAATGAATTCCTTCTTGTGACTATTCTCAAGTAGAAGTACTTGTTAGTAACCACTAGATGGCAGAAAAAAACCAAGTTAAAGCATAGGTGGTAGAACTCCAAACTTGTCAGTTTTGAATAAAACTCATTCTTGCAATGATCAAGATCAGATTTCTCTAGAATTGTAGTTGTCAGTATTTGGACAGTCTATTAAGATCTATTAAACACAAACCCACCACCATGATAATCCTGGAACAGCATTTATTTTGCAAGCTGGGGGTGGTGGGAAGTACCATTATATGCTTGCTCTGTTATTTCTTCCTTTGGCAGTTGTGAAGGGTCAGTGTTGGAAGCGGGGTGCTGGGGTAGGTGGACTTTCAACTAGTCCTACTTGATGTGGCTGTTCTCATGTTAGTAGTTGCCAGCTCTTAACTTCAAATCTCTCTCTCCCTTTGAATAGGTATTCAATTGTTCGATTTAACCAGTATTTCAAAATGAAGCTGGAGGTCATGACATTAACTCTTCCTGAGTAATGAAGAGGAAGAAACTTAACAAGTGGATAGACAACCCTAAATCTTTATTAAGAACAGATACTGGAAAAAAGCTAAACATTTTTTTGAGTTCTATAATGCTCACTTGGTTCTTGCTTTATAAATAATGCCTCTAAACAGTCCTTCAATGTTAAATTTAATATGAAGAGCATATGTACTGCTGTTGATATAAAACAGATTAGAAACTTGCTAAATTTATAAGTTGTAGAAATGGCAATTTAATCCTTCTTTGTAATTTAACATATGTTGTATGTGAATTATTTATTGTAAGTTTAACATGATTCCATTGCTGCTTTCATCAGTTTTTGTAAAAGTTGGGTGCAGACAGTGAAGTTGTTCCAAAGGATTTGTTTAACAACTTATTTTATTGAAGTTGCATTAACTTATATTAAAGAAAACATGGTCAGAGAATATTAACCTTTTAGATGTATAGAAGCAAAATGAGTAATAATAGACTTGTAAGAACACCAGTGTGGTGTAACTAAGGACAAAGGTTAGGATGATTTTTATTTTTTCCCTCTTTTTTTAAAAAAAGAACAAGGTAGCTTTTCATATTATGGTACTTTGCTTTTGTATAAGAATCAGCCAGCTTGCTGAAAAGCTGATGTTTTGATTTTTTTTTTTCTTTACTGATGTGTTAATCTGTAGAAATGTGAAATTCTGTGGCCATCAGATTCTTTGAGGGATATGTACCATCATCTCTAACTTCTGTGGGAAAGCTGCTTGTTTATTAAGTGTATTTTTAAAGCAAAAGACCACTATTCCAAATCTATATTCCTCTTTGAAACTTGATTCTAAATTTCAACACTATTCTGGTGTCTATTTGATGTGCTTCAGCAATAGCTAGTGGAATGGACTATTGAACTGAAAATTAGTGAACAGAAATCCTGTTGCACTGGGGAGCAAGACACTTAGGTTTACAGTTAGCATATTTGTTGACATCTTTCTGCTTTGCCCTCGGGTTCTATTCTTAAATGCTTGGTCCTGTAATTGCAGATTCTGGTATTTTTTTTTTTTTTTTTTTTCTGTGGCAGCAAATTACTTTTCAAAGCCTCCAGTTTGAAGGATAATATGGAAAAATATGACTTGAACAATGGGGCTTTGATCATCACACACATTTTCTTAATTCTTAAAGCTGTTATACCAAGAATGGTCTGGATTAAAAAATGTGAATTGAATAGAAAATGTTTACTTAAAACAATGTATAAGTTTGTATGGAAAAGAGGCTTTAAATATGAAAGGGGCTGGGGGTGGGATGGGGGAAGGGGAAAAAAACCCACAACAAAACTAAAAACCAACAATGCAGTGTGGAGTTGGGCAGACATGTGCTCAACTCTGCTTATACTCTGAAAAACTTTGCACTTTGGTCACATAAGTGCCCACATGTACAAAGTCTGTGTGTGTGCATATACACATGTGAACACAAGCTTACCTGAAGAGTAAATATTATGGGGAGTCTGTTGTACAGACTCCAGCAAATATAATTATTCAAAACTGCTTTATGGCACACTACTGTGTGTATGTGTGTATACATATGTACACATATATATACATATGTGCTTTACAAAAGCTTGGATTGATTTAGGACAAAAAAATTTATGTGAGAAATTTTCACCTTTTGAAGACCATTTTGAATGGCATTCTGTTATTTTACAAAAGCAAGGCTTGGGATTTTTTTTCCCCTTGTTTTTATTCATCTCTGAATGTTTCCAATTTTATTTTATTTCCTTCAGTGAAAACCTTAATCTTAATACAAATGGGACAACTGGGATTTTTTTGTAACTTGAAACTAGGTATCCATTTTCGTTAGCATTTGTTAGCTGGAGGCTATTATACTGGACAGATTTTCTTTGTAGTTAAATAGAAACAAATAGCTGAAGTAGACATATTTTCCTTTGTAGCAGTTATCAAGGATGTTGCTAGAGCTCATGAAAGCACTGAAGACTTTAATTTTGCCTGTTTTCTCTCTGTTGACATTACTGACATGTGTTGAATAATACCCTGCTGTCTTGGTGTAGTCCCTTTAAGTTCAGCAAGATCTGCTTGGAAGCAAGATTGATAAAATTTTTTGAAATCTTACCACTATTTTCTTCAAGAGGTGGCTTTATTTCTGTCAGTGTTGCTTTTGTATTTGTGAAATATTTGAAAAAGACTCTGAAGTTCACTTTGGTCTTGGGAAATCTAACACTTGACAGATCCTAACTTTACCAACAGTTAGCAAAACCCATTCTTTTTTTCAGGTACCAGTATGAAGTTTGGAGTTAGTGTAAATTTTTCAGTAGTATTTTTGTTTGTATAGCTCAAGTAGCAATAACTGTAGGAGTGGAAGTTTGCTTCTGCAGAACTGAAGCTCTTCATGAGTGCAGCTCAATCTCATTCGTGTGGATTGAAGTTCCACTGAGTCTCGTAAAAGCACTTTGAAGCAGATAGTAAATACTGCAAGCTTTTCCTGAGCCACTTCGAAGAAGCACAAGGATTATCGCAGGTTACAGTGGCTGACTTTGCAGTACTGGTAGAGGCTTTCATTTTGCATGTTGAAATTCATTTTACACACTTAAATGCTGCTTTGCATCAGCTTTCTTTCAAGACAAGTGCAGATTAAAACAAATCCTGATAAGTTCTGAGGAAATACTGTAAAACACTTTCCAAAATAAAATGCCAGTTACCTTGAGCCTTGTTCCACATCCGTTTGAGCCAGTGATGTTCTCACTTGCTAAGGAATATCTACCGACATGTTAAGTTTGAAGCAGTAATTTGCAATAGCATTCATTGCAGATTATAAGGGAGCTTGAAACTGTGAATACAGGACATTCTGAATGTAAGTTAGGTACTAGAGCACTGAAGTAGAGAACATGTACTTGTTTCAATTAATTTATTTCAGTCTCTACTGGCAGTGTTAAGATGAAGGACAATAAATGAGCTCTAGAAACATCCTGTAGTAGTTTTGACTGTAACTTGCCAAGAAGATATTCTGTTGCCTTTATGTTAAGCTAAGGGCATGAATGCCAAAATTAATAACTCTGTAGTTAAACCTATATTGTAAATATAAAGAGGGTTATTAGTAATGGCATTCTTGCATGAATAGCATCAAGTCAGTAGACCATAGTGGCCTGGTTGCTTTTGTAAAGCAGAATAGTGTGAATTTTTCTTCTCACTTCTGCAGTCAGATCTGGCTAAGTCATGTCTAATTTCTTAGGTCACCTAAGCATTAGAGATTTCTGAATGATAACTAGTCTTTTGTCCATAATTTTAAATTCCTTCATTTCTACTTCTTTAATTTGCATTTTAAAGGACTCACCCAATTTGCATTAACCAGGTCTGACTGTATATGTATATAAAACAGTGTAAATAACCATTTGTAAATTAGTGTGAATTGTACTGTATCTTGCATTTATGGACTTGTGTATTGCATTGTATTCTCTCCTATTTTGTAGAAACCTTGATGTAAAGAAGAAATCTAACTCTGTGTGCAGACTTCTTTTATTAAATTGACCTGTAACAGAGCATAATAGTTTTATGTTAAGGTACCCATTTATAGCCTTGGGCATCCAGCATCTTTTTCTCCCTTTAGCTTTTTTGGCATCTTGCTCTTGGGAATGATTCTGGGAATAAAGGAGTACTAAGATGAAGAGAAAGTCTATACTAATAATAGGACTGACTGTGTGTCAGAGGTACCTGTAGTACCTGTTGTATAGGAAAGCTGTTAAAATTGTTTACTTAAATTTAAAAAAATTTCCTATACATTCTTGAATGATGGTAGCTCCTTAACATAAGCATGTTGAATTGAAGTACTCGTAACAGTGTGTGCTCCCATGGTGACACCAATTGAGTTAGTTGTGATAGAAGTCCCCTGACTTAAATGTTTTTTGTGTATATAGCCTTATACTAGGATTAGATGATATCATTTAAATGACTATAATAAATGCCCAAAGCACTAAAATAGTTCTGCCAGTCATTTTCCTATTTGTAGCCCCTTTAGACTATTTGAAACTTACCTGAGGTGTTTTTCCTGTGTGCCATTCCCTCCACCTCCTCTCTGTGCCCACAACTGTACTTCATCAGGGGAAACATGAATATAAAAACTTCCTTTCCATATTTAATTATTACTGTTTCCAGCGTTGTTTTGTCACTACATGACTTTTCAACAGAATTTTTGTGTGTAAGAAGTCCCTTTCTGAAGAGGCCTTTAATCTTGGAAGCATAGATGTTTTCCCCAAATGCTCGACTATATTTCATTACTATTGCCTTTCACTGTCTGTTTTGAGCTCCATAGTGTCCTTCAAGCTGTTAGTTTATTCTTGTCACTGCTGTGTTTAATAACTGTTGGAAAATGCTAGTGTGCTAATCTCATTGTCCATCTGACAAATCAATCTTGATATAGTTTGTACATCCTGTCAGCTTCACCTTCACCAGGTGAAAGGTATGCATGCTTATCAGCATTGGCACTGAAAGTTACTGGGGTCCTGGGAATTGAGCTTATCAAAGAAGTGTTAGTCAAAAGGCTCGGTAAATACCGGTAAAAGGAAATCGTTCACATGGAAACTCAAGCTTAAGCTTTGGATATGCTTAGTTACTTGAATGGTTTAAGGACAAGAGCAGACTGTAAAGGGTAAAGTTTGTTTCAAAATGTAGTTCAGTTTTTTTAAGTCTTTGGTAGCTAATAAAAGCTTACAAAATATTCTGTTACTCCTACTGAAAGAAAAATCAAATTTGGGTAACTTTCTGATTAAACAAAACTTTGTTCTATAACCCAATGGAATATAATCTCTTATTTGGGGGAGTCCTTACTGTAGCTTGCAGGGGAGATTGACCACATTTTACCTGTCTGCATTTAAGGTGGCTGTCTATTCTTGATTTGTTCTAATGTTTTTGTATTGTTTAGTGTTCTTGGATGCCTTATAAAGTTTACTAGATTACTAAACTACTGGAATTAGCTATTGTCTCCTATCATCTCTTCCACACCATGCAGGTTATTAATTATAGTAGAAGAGAATGCATTTGATCAGACCTTGAGGTAATGCGGGGCTGATGTTGAGCAGTCCTGCAGCTGATTCTTTTTTCCTTCTTTTTATTACTGTGGGCTGCAAGCTCATTGTTTTCATTAGTTGTGAAAGACATAAAAAGCCATGACCTTTAATCTTCTGCAAGGCAGGTGTTCTCTTAGCCAACCACACAACTTTTAAGAAAGTGGCTTTCAGCAGTTAGAAACCACACATCCAGATGTGACATGTCAGAAGAAACCAAACTTTGTGGTGTTTAGACCTCCGGAGTGGAAAGGAAAATGTGTGAAACATTTGCATGTGCCAGTTGTATGGAGGTGCTCTGTCAAAACGATGTACTGAGACACTAGCAAAAGCATTGTTTGGTTGGTTATTTTTTTAAAGTGACTTTTTCAGTCATCTGATCTGTAGAAATTAAGTTCTTGTGATTAGGAAACAATTCAGCCTGGGGGAAGGAAGAAGCATTCCAAAAGATTATTAAAAAAAACCCCTATGCAGTTGATTAATTTTCAACACTTAAGTGTGTGTTGGGCTTTTCTGTGTATTTAATAGTGTAGGTGGTAGTCTGTACCAAGTTCTCTTAATAAACTTTTATTATTGTGAAATGTCAAAAAACTGACTGGAATGGCTCTGAAGTCTATTGTGATTATAGAACAGGTGACCAGATTTCACCAGATTACCAAACTTCTGGTTCAGGACTTTGCATTAGCTGTTCCTATAGCCTTCCAAATTTGTGCTGATGTCTCAGGTTCCCTATGGTGTGGAACTTTATGGAGTTCCCAAATATGTTTGATTTGATGTTTGTAGAGGGCTGACACACAGAAAACTTGGTGAAAATCAGAAGCTCTATAAACATTTAGAAAGCAAATTACTTGAACTCTAACAAGCTTCAAAAATAAATGCTGAAATAACTTCAGATACTGCACCAGCCTATTTTTGAGGTATTGAAGCTGTGTTTTTTTCTATGCTGTGGGTTTTTTCTCCACATAGATCCATTCAAAACACAAGATGAAAGAGACCATGGAAGAGAAACAAGAAAAATGTTGTATACAATGCCATAAAATGCAGTGTGAACTGGAAAAAAGTATATGTTTGTAAGCTTTTGATAGTGGTAATTCTTAAGCGTTATCAAAAAAATGGTAGGTGTCAAGTCTTCAGCGTGTAAATTATTTTTTTTTGGTAGAAATGTTCCTTTTAACATTTTGTATATCAGATGCAGTCTGTGGTAGTTAATAATGCTGCTTTGTACACAGGTGCTTTTGAATAGTCTCAGCACTGCAAGTGTATCCAGTCTTTCTTAAATATGATTTAGATTCATTGGTTCTGTGTCAAGCCTCTCAATCCAGCTATCTAAAACCCTTTAAATACCTACAGAAACAGGGCCATAGCATATTAGGGATATATTCTATTTTGCGTGGTTTTTTTGTTGCTGCATATTTTTCAGTGTTCTTTTAAACACAAATCCATTTATGTCCTGTGAATAAAATAAGTTCAATTTACAAATAAGCCTTTGTCACCTTCCAGCACTGTCATCCCTCAGAAAGTCCCCATGACCCTTCTTGTATGTTGTGGAGTTTAGATGCATCATTTATCCACTGGAGTGAATTGTAAATCTTTTCAAGTAAATGTTATTGGAGCTATTATAAGGCCTTCTACCCTTGATTAAATGAAGTAATGTACCTTTCAAAGAGATTTATATTGTGTAAATAATTTCAAACTCCAACAATAAAGTTTGTTTCTAACTGCACTGTTGGCATGTATTGTGATGATTTTACTTTCCCCAGGTTTGAGAGCACTGGATATGGAATACTTAAAAGAATTCTTGAAGTCTTTTGACTTGTATTTATGTGCATACCTCTTTCTGGGATTAACAACCTAGCTAAAAATAAATACTTTGAGCCAGTATTTGGCTTACACAAAGCAAATAAGCTTGCTCATTGACCACTAAAATTTCACATCTGGGAGGCTAGAATTAGATAGAACATGACTGTCAGGAGGGATCATTACTGTCAAGGAAATGGAGGAAAGCATGCAAAGTTTGGGCTGCTCTGAAGTTTAATTTATGCATAATGAGGGCTGTATTAACTATGGGGGACCCATTTTAGAGGCTCATCCATAATGCTGAAGAAAGGCTCTGCATTCAGTACTAGTGGCACAAATTAGATGCTTGATTGGGGGTTGATGGGAATGTTTTGTTGGACATCAACAAAACCCTGTTTCTTCCATGTTGGTTATGCACCCTAAAGAATGATTTTGCCAAGATACAGATTTTATTTGGGCTTTATTACTCCGTGCAGTTGCCAGCCGTGAATGCATTGAAGAAAAGATTCCTTGGGCCAAAGTCTGCACTCTGTTACATGCCTCTGTCCTTGTCACTGAAAAGGGGCTTTTCCTGCATGCACCGAATACAAAATTTTGGTCTTGTTCATAGTGGGCTTAAGGTGTTACCAGTTTGTGTACCTGTAGTAAGGGACACAGAGAACAGCACGTAAAGCAAAATTGTAAAAAAGTTTTGGCTGAGTGCAAAAGTAGAGTAACCTTTAGGCTATGAAAAAGCGTTGACCCAACATTGTAGGAGACTGGAGATTTGAGACCCATGCACCTTTGCTTAAGTAGGTTTTTGTATGTAACAATACCTTCTTAATGTGCAAGGCCTCCACCTTTAACTGTGATTGTTGTCTGTAAGTGTTAGGATCACAAAGTAATGTTCTATGTATGTAACTTATGCAGCCTGAGATTCTCAAACATGCTAAGCTTTGCTGGCTCTTGTTGACATAAATGTGGCCTATTTCCATTCGGCTTTTTGCTGCTGAAGTACCACTACTACTACCCAATGGATGAGTCAATTGTTTTTCATTTTAATACAAAATACTCAGACTATGACTGGATATTCAGGGTTACTCAGCCCTACTGAACTGCTGCTTAGAGCCAAGAGACTGGTGTCCACTGCCCAAATCTTCAAAATGTTCTACAAGACTTAAGTTGTGGCTAGTCTTTGTTCACTGTCTTAACTGCAGTGAAAAGATCTGTTGTGCTGATGATTTAATTCATCATAACAAGGAATCTTTCTTTCCCTCCCCAAGTAAAAATCCTTCATTCACAACTTGGCCAGAAAATGGAGATCAAGCTCTTTCTGAGCTAGAAGTTGTCCATGGAAAGTAATGAAGAGTTTTTTTGAGGCTGTGTCAGAAAATACAGTCCTGAATAGGTGTACTAGGTCTGGCTGAGCTGGAACTGGTTTTCTCCTATAGCAGCTCTCACGGTGCTGTGTTTTATGCTGGGAGCTGGCAGGGTGTTGATAGCACCCTGGTGGTGTGGCTACTGCTGAGC